ATATTTATATACAGGGTGTTCTAGGTTTTAATGGCCAAACGTTGTCAGTATATTCCATGGGTCGAAATAAAAAAAAACGTTATACAAACATAGGTTTTTTAGAGCTTCGTTAAAAAGTTACTGCGGTAATACGAAATGAAGGAAACAATAGCAGACTCGCGGTTACTGCGATGTAAGACATATTTGCGCGATATTTACAAGATCGCGTAATGAATTGATACAAGAAATCAACGATGCGTTTACTGAAATAAAACAAAATAATAACGAAATTCGCAGAGTAATAAATTCTGTTATCTGATGTTTTCTGATGTCAATCTTGCATTGCCATAAATGGTTGACATTTTTGAGATGGAGTATTAGTTGCTTCTTGTGTAAACAGAGTAAACGTAAATATTGCTGATCTACTTCTGTATTACATCGCAATAACCGCGAGTCTGCTATTGTTCCCTTCATGTTGTATTATTCTCATAACCTTTTAACGAAGCTCTAAAAGTCGTTCACGATAGCGCGCGGGTGAATCTCTGTTCGTCCGTCCCTGAGTGCGGGCTCTACGCGCGCTCTGATTGGCCAGTGTTTTTCGTTAGTAATTCGAAAACGAAGCTTCAAACTACATTTTGGAAAAGGAAAAAGTTGTTCAGAGTCACCTCAGCTACCCCCCATTTCCGAATGTTCGAAGAGTTACGGGCCACCCTGTATAAATAATATGCGACAGTGAGGAACACATGGTGGCCCGACTCCCGGTTTTTCGCAATTTTACGACCTTCCATGACAGGAAATGACTTTGTTCGCACAAAATTCGCAAAAAATTAAACTGACTTTGAAATCTCCCCCACCACACCCGGTATAAAAAAAATATTTATACCACATATTTTTCCCTCTCGTACCAAACAACTTTTGTTAAAACATTTCTTTTCCTTAAATGATATTTCACTGTATTGAGATAAAACAGACGCCCTGTATTACATTACATAGATTCGACCTACCGTTTGACTGTTATTTGGAGAATTGGCCTGCCGTTTGACTGACACTTGTGGAATCGGCCCTACATTTGACTGACACTTGTAGAATCGGCCCTACATTTTTTTTTTTACGTGGAGGTAGGCCGACATTAAATTAATTACTCAATAAGTATTAATAAGTAAAGGATCGCACACGTACCCCACGAGCAAGAGTAACGAGGGGGGGGGACTCGGAGGCTTCCAGTTACCAACCGGAGGAAAAGGTGTTTTGAAAAGAGCAGCCTGTTATGAACGGCAATACACCTTGTTACAGTGTTCGAGGACACTTCGTTAGGATGGAGGAACGAAGGAAACGGTGATAGATGGGAACTTGGGAAAATTCGGTTTTTAAGAAGTTGCGACCACGGAGGAGATGGGTTTTTTTAAGGTGGTTGTTGGATTATAAAGAAAAATGAGTATGTGTCTGTGTAATAGTAACGGCAAAAATAATCAACATACTGAGACAGATTAATATATATATATATATAGAAATAACATAGTAACCATCTGTTTAGTATGGGTGACGCTGATATGTTTTTTTTCTCTCAGTGTCTTGTCTATGTTTGTTTGATCGCATAGCGACGTGCCTTCCTCGCGTATCAGAATAAAGAAGATTTATAATCAAAACAATATCTTTTATTTATTACCATAATTCTATACGTAACATTCACAAATTTATATCCACATATATTCATTTACTTTTCACTTTGGAATCGTTCAATTACAATGTCACAATTCCACAATCGACGCGATTATTTCCTTGCAAATTTTTGTAAGTCAAATTAAAAATTTGCAATCTATCTCTCAAATATACGGTCATCGCTCAGTTACGATGTTGTTATCGAAATGATCACGTTCGCGAAACAACAGAAGCATATCTATTACGTAAACGTGTTATATTAATAACAATGCATATTTATAATTTTCACTTTTTAGAAAGTTATCGGTATTAGGAAAGCGTACGAAAATATTTGTACTTTTGCGTGAAAATAGAGATTCGCTGTTTAAAGAATAAACAAATGATTCGAAACGCGAGGGTCCTGTTCTGTGAAATCGCTAAATCACATTAGAGACCGTCATTAAGATAATCCTTTTGAGTTTTGCAGGTAGCAAGAGTGACTGTGAGGGTATAATAATGATCTATTCCTTATAGATCGCACGTGAGATTATGATCCACAAAGAGCTGAATCACGTGAATGTTGTCCAGCTGCATCACTACTTTGAGGATAATCTTAACGTCTACATGCTCCTGGAAGCCTGTCCTCGAAAGGTGTCGTATGTCTCATACCTACCTGCCTACACAATTTTCTACGATACATTCTCTATATACGCTCGCAAGAATTTCCTCACCTTCTCCTTTCGAGTCGAGTCGATCCCCATTGTGCACGAAGAATGGGAGAAGTTCGCTTACCTGTTAGATAAAGCTCCGTTCCTCCGAGGAACTCAGTCAGAAGGATCAGCAGCTCTAACGTCCTTCTACTAAGAATTTACAGCACCTTTAGAGAAGCAGAATTGCTTGATTACTCCTTTTCACTTAGCAGCTTCGGTAATGTTCGCTCTAACGTAGAGTATTCCGTCCTTCTAATTTTCTTTTTGCTCTTACCTCTTTCGAGCACAGTGGGATGTTTTTCATCCTATCTTTAAGTATTAAGATAACAAAACTTAACTTAAACTTAACTAACTACATAAACTCAATTCATTTAATTTATTTTCGCAAGTTTCACGGTGGGACTACTTATGTCTCACCTAATAATTAAATATTTATGCTTTTCTTTTAAATTTCAGTCGTTTTACGTTACAATTCGCCGTTTTTATAAATAAAACAAACCTACTTTGTCATGTTTTCCTTAAATAAAATTTCCGTGCAGCTGGAGTACTTTTGTCTTAAAATTCTGTGCCCCAGAGAGTTAATTGGGTATTCTCGTTTGCAGAAAATATTTTCGCGCATTTTCGTTTCCCGTGGAAAAAGAGCGTGGCTCTTTAGAAATTTCTCTCTCGGAAGATGTAAGTCCGATCGAAACAAATTTTTGGTACACGATTGTACGGTGTTCAAAGTATTGTTTAGGG